TAAACTTGTCATAAGCAATTTATTCTGTCATAGTCTTATCATAATCTATTTATTCCAAGTTATCCAAGTGACTAGTTGACAATGAAGAAACATGGAATAAGATCTGATCAAACTGGCAACCAAGCCAGCAGATTTCAGGAAAGGTTTGCTTGCTATAACCTGGCCCCGTTGCAAACCGGTAGTAAAGGTAAGTAGAACCCACCCCTGCTGCACACAATATCTGATTATCTGATAAAATTATGACAGTAGAAGGGAAAGAGCTTTTTAAAATATTCCTCCATGAATATCGGTGATGCAAGATTCATTTGTCTGTTTCTTTGGGACTCTTAATAAAGGTATTCATTATCCTATATCTTTACATATTCCAGAAATGTTGCATCCAATGATATGTATGAAATACCTGTAATTTCTGGTACTTCTTAGAGGTATCACTACACTGGCATTTTTTCCTAAATGCAATTGTTGCTAGGTGAGCACCATTTAATTAATGAGTGTAATATCTTCTGTGTTTATAACACAATAACTGCCATATGCTAATACATAGGGTTGCAACAGCAGGAAAACTAGGTTGAGTTTAATCACATGTGCTTTATCATTCAGGCTGACATTCAAGGCTGTTGCCTTTTTAAAAGTCTATGCTATGAAGATGCACACAAGTGCAGTTTTAAAATAAAGATGTATAATCTGGTTGCTACATAAATACAAAATGGAGTTCTCTTTCTACCTGTCTGAGGTCAAAAGAAATGATGTTGCAATACAGATTGTATAGTTTTGAAACTAGCATGATTAATAAAAGTTTTAAGGTCATTAGATGTAACAAGTTTGGTGCACCCAAGCAGGGCTAAGAGATGCCATGTCTACATTTAGTTTTTCTTTTCACTTATTTCCTATTTTAAACTATTTTCTCCTTTACTCCCTATTAATTTTCTGTTCTTTGCACCAGAATACTGTTTATCACAAAAGGAACCATGTGATAGCTGTATCTGTGTATATCAAGAGTATATGTTTTGTTTCATTATCTAAACTTTCAAGTATTGTTTCTGTTATTATGATATGAAAAGGCAAATTTTCAGGGATAGCTGATTCAAGCTTTACAAAATATAAATACTTAGGTCAGGACTAAGCCTCATTATTGTGGCTGGAAATCAACAGAAATTGGAGCAATGATACAAACAAGTGTTACATAAGTAAGCAGGGTCAGGATGTTTGCTTCTTTCGCAGTAGGTTTCTTGGTTTAAAAATTATATTCATGCATTAGTACCGTGATGGCAACCTATGGCACGCGTGTCAGAGTTGGCACGAAGAGCCCCGTCTGTGAGCACATGCACCATTGCCAGCCACTCTTCTGGTTCCCAGCATGTGTATGCATGCTGCCCAGCTAGTCTTCATGACTGCCAGAGCCCCAGAGCCCCGGAAACCCAAAGACCAGCTGGCTGGTGCACATGCACCTGGTCTTTGGGTTTCCGGCGTTCCGGCACAGGTGAAGACCAGCAGGCCAGCGTGCGTGCATATACCAGAAACCAGAAGACTAGGTACACATGCGTGGGCTGGCCAGCTGGTCTTAGGGTTTCTGGGGCTCCAGCACGCACAAACACCAGCTGCCCGGCATGCATGCGCCTGCCACAAACCAGAAGACCAGGTGGTCAGTGCACGCATGCACACTGGCCAGCTGGTCTTCGAGTTTTCGGGGCTCCGGTGCACATGCGCGTGTATGCGTGCATGTATGTTCCAGTTTGGGCACTCATTGCTTAATATTGTCAGCAATGAAGTATACCAATGGCAACGAAAAGTCTCAACATCAATGTGATACAAATTAAGAATGTGATTTTTGGTCTCTAAATGCATGGGAGGTAATATCTACGAGAAAGATCAAAGATAATTTCAATGAGGAGATGCAAAGGCTAGAAATCTTCACAGATTCCACCTAGGAAAATATTTTACTTCAGCTTATTGATGCCACTTTTCATCCTATAATGAATCCTAAGAAGACAGTTAAATTGGAGATCTGGGCTATGGCAATAAAACTATGTATTAGTAAGTACTATGCATTTTCATAGGTGGAAACAAAATCATTTGGAAAGATCAAAATAGGGGGAAATAATTTATTAAAAGAATAGTATAGAATAAAGATGAAAATCTGCCACAACACATATTAGATTGTCCTTTTCAAAGTCATCTTGCTATGGGGGAAAAAAGCTTTTATATATCCATCCTTAAGTATTCAGTTGGTGTTATTAAACTTTTTCACAGGGGACAATATCTCTGCATCAGCATAATGAAAAATTAGTTTTCACTTTCTTAGCCACAGTAATATTCTAACTTGGAGTGATTAAGAACTTCATTAGGGGCAAGCACAAGCATCCTTGGGTGAAGTCTGGCTAAGACATAATGCATATTTATGATGCCAATTAGAGAAGCTCTCTGAAACCAAGCGAACTTGTAAAATTAGCTGGATCTGTATTGAAACTTTCTGTTTCCTGAGCTGTTAGCAATCACTACAACATTACAACACTTGTTTGCTAACCTGTGTGACAGTTATACTAATAGAATGAAAAATGGTAAGATTTACATAGGAGTAATGAGGCTCTGCTCTTGGAGCACAGCAATTGTCATGCTACTTCTGTAGCCTCAGAGCAGAAAGGGTTCATGGGGCAGGAATTTAAGAAAAGCCTTCAAGCGAGATAGCTCTTCCAAGACTAATTACATGCTCAGAATCTGGACAGATATGCTGCCATAGCATGATAATTTCCTTCCTCCTGAACTATTAAAATTTTCCCAGGCAGCCGCCTTAATGTGTTTCCCAGGCTCAGCCTCTCTCCAAGAGGGAGAATCAATTGGCAAATTCTATACCTCTTCATTTAATACAAATTTGGTTAAACTCTTTAAAGAAGATTTGATAAGACACATTCACTTAAAAAATGCGAATTGTTTTCAAAGTCAGGCTTCAAAGCAAGTTGATCAGCTGCCTTCTAGGACAATATGCAAAGATTAGATAGAAAAGTCTAGGTAAAGGCAGAAACATAATCAAGTGGACTTATTATGTTGGGGAAAGCAATTTATTTCTCTGTAATAGTTGAAATCCAAGAGAAGTAACAGGATTCCAGATTGTTTCTTGGGGTTACACTATAGAAAGATGGGAGACATGAAAACAACAACTTCCTAAGACCAGGTTAGAGAAAAGAATAAACTGCAAGAGGTTAAAGCCAACAATCTGGATTTTCTCAACACCACCCTATCAGTCTAGAACAGGACTGTCAAACTCCCAGCCTGTGGGCTGGATGCATCATGCACTGGCCATGCCCACGTCCAGTTTAGCAAAGGGGTGGGGGGGAAATCACAATATGTCATGTGATGCCACCGTGACAACATGAGTTTGACACCCCTGATCTAGAACAGTTTGAATGTGTCTTACTTCCTGTTCTAATGCAAAATGAATAAATATTTTAGACTAAATAAAGGTTTGGGGGTTTTATATTGATTTCTCCCTCATTATCATCTTTTATTTCCCTACTATGATGCCCATAAAAATATGCCTTCGGGTGCTGCTACTAGGTGTAGAAAGGAGGCCTCCAATTGGAACTTTCCTCTTCCCTAAATTGATAGTGAATTTGGTAGGGGTGAATATATGTGTGTGTTTATCGTCAGGTGTCTGGGGGTTCAATTACTTCTGCCCAATGAACCGTGATCCTGATGAAAATTGGAGGAGTCCACTCTCACTAATATTAGCAGCTAATTTGATTCTCAGGAAGGATTCTATAATATTTCTTTCTCAAAAAAAGAAGTGCACTGCCAAAAAGAGAGCAAAAGAAAGTAAATATCCGAATAGATCATTCATATCTTAAACCAGCTATTGTTATGTGGTGGGTAGGTATTTATCACTTAGGTCCAGTTCACTCCCATCTATGGTTATTACTGGATGGCTATGGGCCAGTAATCACTCAATCTCAGCCCAACCTACCTCATATGTTGTTGTTTGTTGTGAGGATATTATGAAGGGAGATCCCCATGGGAACTGACTTGAGAGCCCTAGAGAAAAGGTGGGATATAAATCTAACAAACAAGTAAATAAAAATACAATATATTTCACTAGAATAAGGGAAGACTCTAGTCAGGTCTTTCAAGTCTAATTTAAAGATCCATTAAATAAAAGATGTTTACATTAGACTTGGAATGGAAATCTTGAAATAGAGAATGACCTCTGTAAAGCAGGACACTGGGCGACCCAACCAAAAAGGTTCTAGTCAAAATGAATCAGGATCATAGATTAATTTGAATAGGATCACACTCCCTGTCCCAAATCGGGTAGTCAGTTTAGGAGAGTTCCTTGAATCCTCTTTGTAACAGGACCTTCAGAAGTCAGTTATGCGTTAAGAGAGCATTAGCAGAGCTCAAACTGGTTCTCAGAATTGTTTCCTTTCTGAGAAAAAGGACTTGGTTTATGTGCCACATGCCTTAGTTTCTTCAAAATGAAACTGAAGTTCATGTCTTCTTATTGTTATAGTTTTATTATTCTGCTTTTACACAGCATCAGAATGTAACATTATAGAGTATAATATTTCTATTTAAAAAAAGCAAACTGTCCAAATTATGGCGGTAAGTATAATAGGCCTCTCATCTGTGTATTTGCTTTTAAATCCAAAAAGTCACGAGAATGTAAAATACACAGTGAACTCTAAAATCTGGAACCCAAGATAAATATGATATGTGCATTGTCTCCATGCTGAAATATGTTTCCATCACAAATAATAGTACAGATTATAAAATGAGTAAACCCTTCTAAAATTATGCTAGTTTAGTGGAGAGCCCTCTGGCCACTTAAACAAATTAATAGAAGAAAAGACAACAACATGTCAACCTCCAAAAAAACATCTGCTCATCTTCTTACTACAACAAATTGTTATTACTTTTGTGCATAGAAATAGAACATAGAAATACATCAAACTATTCACAATGGTCATCTGCATTTGCTTTCTACATTACTAGTAACAACAGATACTCACAGTTGTAGCGTACTGAATATCCTTCCAGATGGAAGTCTCCCGAGAGAGATCCGAGGCTTCAAAAAGGTTCTCTAGGATCACCTCCCCAATCATATCATGCCGGGAAAACCTGTCGAAGTCAAAGACACTAAGATGGACCTTTCTATTGGTCAGCTCTTCATAGGGCACAGGAAACTGAAAGCATTCATCAAAGGTGGGATTGAGAGTTTTCCTGTGCACTCGTGTTTGGAATTTGCGTTTTCGGTCAGGCAAGAGGTAGATCTTAACATAGGGATCAGAACTGCCACAGAGGTCCTTAGCAGGCAAGTCAAATGCCTTGAGGATCCGCACAATCAAAGTCTCATTTTCATAGTCGTATTTCAAAGAAAAATTTATTTTCCCACAGGTTTTTTCAGCTTCTTTCTTGGGGTCCTCAGAGTCCACAGATTTCTGTTTGTACAGCTCAGGCTTGATCCGGCCAATGCAAGTGGGCTGCTCTGCTGCAAGTGGTAGATCTGTGCCATAGTCCACACTGGAAACATGCATCTGTCTGGGCAGGTGCCTCTTGAAAGAAATGTGCCTGCAAGAGTTAAAAGGAGGAGAACATATTGCATGCCTGGAAATAACTGACATTTATTGTCTGACCCACTATGAGAATATCAAATGGAACGTAGACCATGCGCAGGCCAGAAGTAGGGAGCTAACCCTCTCCTCTCCTCAAATTCTGAGATGAGCCACTTTATCTCCTGGATAAAGAAAGATGAGCTTCTGGTGTTAGCAAATGCCTACAGATTTATCTTACATGGATTCGAACTATTAAAATAATTATCATCCACATAACAGCCTACAATGAACCAGAATGTTTGAAAAAAATGTTTTAATTTCATCCATCCTCCCTATGTAGTTTTAAATTTCAGTTCAGCAGTTGAACAACCTCTGGAGAGCTATATGTCCCCCATTTACTTTTAAACAAAGGAGAAGTTACTGTACTTTTGCTATATTTAAAACATAACAATTTTTTATTAATTTGCAGGAAAGAGAATTTTAAATCTTTTACAACTTATCTTAATAGAGGATTTATGTCCAAGAAAAACTGCTATGACTTTAATCTCCTGGGAAATGAGGCACGTCATCACTTGTTCCTTTTGCTCCCTAACTTACCCCGCTAAACATGCTCCAGAGATCAGCATGATTTATTAAACATGCCATAATTTGTTGTATCATGGAAGAGGGATGAGGGAAGGGAAGGGATTGTTATCATTTATATATATCCAAGGGCTCTTCCTCATGCACACTCCTTCTGTCCTTGAATTGGCAGAAAAACATAGTGACATAAATTGTGTCACCCCAACATCCAATACCTATTCTGCTTCAGTGCAACAGACACTGTCCTTGCAGTTTAAAGGTAGACAAATTAAGAGCAGTAATTAGTGGATTCTCCTAGTTGTATTTTCTCTTTCAGTTAATGCCATCTGCCAGGAAGAAAAGTAACTACCACTCTCCTTAATATGTGATAGGGAAGACTTAAGTTCTTGTAGGTGATGTCTAAGATGGAAGCTTAAGCTACCTTCAGCTTTCCCAAGTGACAGGTGAGTGGCATGGATGATAGAGCTATGCTGATGTTTTCTGGAAATTCCTCTCTTGCTTCATCTCATAACTTTTCTATCATCCATTCACCTGTCAGTGAGGCTATTTTCTAATACAGGTTTAATACATTTTCAGAAGAGCAATAGAGTCTTATTCAAAAGTAGCCTGAGTGAGAGGTCACTGGTGCATTGAAGGTACTAATGCCAGGGGCATTGGATAATTTCCTTTCCACGTCATTCAAGATAATACTGCTGCCAGCAAGTGGCTGTGATCAATAACAGTTGTAAAAGTAATCAAAATGGCACTGCCTCCAAAGTAATGAAAATGGTGGGAACTTCAGCTTCATGAATTCCCTTGTGGGCAGAAGCAGTAGAAAAACAGTTCTGTCCTAATTTGAACTAAATCCAACAACACCTAGCTGGCAGAATGTGGCTCTCTTTCCTAATTAAATCCCACTCTTTCAAGAGAATGCTAAAGCTGTATTTAACAAAACAGGTCTAGCGGTAAACCTTGTGCTGTTCTCAAAGTACCAATTACGTAATACGCGGAGAGATGCTCCTGGGAAGCCAGGTGTCTGGTCACTTTCTGCAGTCTGAGCTAACGCGGCCATTAGGCAGTGCCTAGAAATTGGTAGAAAGGGAGTGGGGCAAATCAGTCTCAAGTGGTTAACAGGAGCTGCACAAATTCATTGTGCTTCATTGATTTTGTAATCATCAATATTATCAATGAAGCTTCATAAATCTATACAGCAAGATTTGTGTCAGGAGAAGAGTAAAAACGAGAACTGCTAAAGACAAATGTAAAGTGTCTCAACAATGGGCTGGGGATGAGACAAAGGAAATATCACCGAGATAGATTCATTAAAAATGGCCCGCATGCATCTTTGTGTCATGATTAGTAGAATGTGAGAATGAACCCTAAGGAAAGTACTGACTCTCCTTCCTAGCTATTAGATCAGAACTTATGAGAATTATGATAAAATGTGGGGAAGGAAAAGAAGAAAACCACCATATATTTATTATATTCTATTCATTTATTTCCAGTACTTGTTGACCATCCCATTCAGGCAACTTTGCTGGTGTACAAGAAGATAAAAATTGCCATTAAAACAAGCTATACCAAGCAGCCCATACTTCCAAAGATAACCATCCCTATCAGCCAGTTAAAGTCAAAAGCATAGGAGAATAAAAAATTAAATACTTTTTGGAATGCAAGAAGGGGGATACTTTCTGTACTTCTGGAAACCAGGTGGCAGAGCACTACAGTCTGCCTGATGCAGGACTTGTCCGCTTCCCATGGAGAAAAATCTCTCAGCAAGCCTCTTGAGAAATTGAGAAATTGGGTCAGCATAACTTTGGCAAGGCAGTGTGACACCATATATGTTTTTAAGTAATTGTATGTTTTTTTTTTAATTGGGATTAGAAGTATCCGAGTAACCAATGCAGCAACCTGGGAGTTACTGTTAATCTGCAGAGGCAGAGATGATCTGTCAGCAGTCTGACCAATATGTTCTGGACCAGTTGCAGCATCTGAGATTCTCCAAAACATATAGGGTGCAGAGCAGTAACCCAATCATGTGATGGGCAAAGTATGGGCAAAAGCCCTCCAGTCACTACCTTTACTTGTTTAAACAGAAGCACTGGATCCAGGAGGACCTCTAAGTTGCAAACCCTCTATGTCTACAGTCAGTATTTCTAGCACGCAATATACTGCATTGAGGCGGGAGAACGCACTAATCATATTTCTTTCTATATCTTATACAATTGGTTCCCAGGGGAACTTTTCTAATTGAATTTCTTAATGCGTTTCCCTTTCTGTTTTCAGTGAATTAACTTAATGGATATGAGTAAGAAAATCTTAAACTAAGAATGGCAGGCATGAATCTACCAAAGGGACAATATTTACTACCTCATTCAGCCTCTCCTGACCAAGACTTTAGAAATTTAACATTTAGAAATTTACAGCCCTGACAACACGCTTGGTTAATATTCCTGAGACAGAGCATCATTATATTTCTTATAAGAGTCTTTTTTTATGTCTTGATTTGACCATTGTACCATGTCTTCCTTGTTGTTTTTTGATATGGGAGTCAGATTTTTATTATTACAATCACTTGGACTTTTTCTCTGGCCAGCCACTACATATTTTAATATGAGGTTATGAATTATTTGCTGATATTATAACCTTATTCTTAATCCAAGGAGTCTGGAAAAGTTTTTTTTAAATTAGTTTTACTTGTTGGGTTATTATGCCACCAGTGTACCTGGTACTTTCAGAATATGAAAACTGCTTCCTGCCTCAAGGAATTTCAATTCAACACATGGAAGCAACAGAGGAATTGGAAAACAAGGGAAGCAGAACGGAACAATCCCACTGCAGTCTTTTCGTTTTTCAACAATCAATCTCAATTTAGTAACCATTACACCCTACGCACAGAGCTGGAGGATATATATACTTCCTATTTGAATACATTCTTAATAGCAGAACTAACTTGTACTGTGAAGTTATATATATCTAGAAGTAGACACTCAATTAAAATGCTCGCTGTCTAAGCTGAGGCATAAAATTAGTATCAAAGAATGAGCTTGTAGAAACAAAGATATTGCCTTGAGATTAAGGTAAAATACATAACAAATTAACTATATGCTGTCTCCAAAAATTTCCAATGTATTACAGTGACAGCCTTCTGATTATATCTAGTACTGTATATCCTCTCCCATAAAAGGAAATAAAAACAATTATATTTTTGTTGCAAGTAGCATTAAAAAAATCAGACCAATTTCTCCTCACTGTGTGGAATAAGCAAACCTGATTAGGCCTTCCAGTGAAGGAATATAGGGGTATAAATGTATTCATATGGTAGATACATGTATATATGTCTGCATATATTTATGTACATTCTGCCCAATACAACATATCAATGCAATCCTAAAAGCCCAGAAAGAGTGTCAATTGTGACATTAGGCTGTAAAAGATTGCATTCAGGGGAAGCTGAGAAAGGGAGATCGGTATGTAGAAGAACCATTCACAAAACTACTGTAGGAATATCTTGTAGATATTACACAGATTCATAAGTATGCCTGTGTGATATTTCCTGCCTGAGTACAATAACATCAACCAAAGAAATGGGAAATAAAATAGACAGCAATAGATGTTCTCTTTATAGATATTTTTGATTGAAAATGCCAATGTTCTTCATTATTAACTTCATACTTAGAAATGATAGAAATTCTCTCTCTTCTATGGGAGAAACTGATAGATACCTGAGTAAAATTTGCTCTTTTATTGTATATCCAACAACCCCATGAGTGCAATCATTCTACATCTCAGCTGAAAAGATTATGTGAGTGAGATATGAGTATCAGTGACCTCTGGGCAAAAAAGTCCCAGATTGTCCTCAGCATTCAGATTTCTACATACCCTGCCTTTCTTTGTAGTGAATCTTCACGCATGCATTATTCCTCCATTTAAGACTAGAGTGACCCTAAGGCAGTAGCTCATCTTAAACACTAGAATGCAGCTTCCTCTAAGCCAATGCAGTGAATGATATGTCAAGTCCGTTTATCTAATTATTCTTGCTTGAGCCACACAAGCAAGAAAAGGCTGTAATTCCATCTGACAGTATGCCATGTCACTGATACATCTCCTTGACTCTGTAAATTCTAACAAAATTAAAGTAGCCACAAACATATTGACAGCTTGACACAATGAGGTCAAGTCACAAAAATAAGGTTTGAATCTTTTAGTTAAGATTAACAGCCCTCAGGGAGTTTAGTGTAATACATGAGCTGGTTTACTATCAAGTCAACCTTTGGCAGAGACCAACATTTAATAAGAGGAGTTTCCTTCAGTTCAGATCTAGGTGGTTCATGTCAGCCAAAAGTTCAGCTTAATCACCTTTTTTGCTTAGTGATTTTCAAGTGTCAAAAATACGTTTACAACGAAAAAGTTGCTATTTCAGATAGTGGATATGGCAGAATTAGTCTGAATTTGATCATAGTCAGGTTCTTGATCCTAGACAGATGAATCTGGAGACCACAAGTTAAGGAAGTATGATCTAAAACAATAGATAACAGCCCAAGAATTGCTCTTACCTGGTGGAAGACGCAGGTTCTGTTGTTTGTCTCTGCATTCGTGTGCGTCGCATGAGATGATCTTTCATAGACATTTGAACTTCTGCTGGGATATCTGGTGAAGTGTGACTGATTTTTACTGCTGCTTCCAAGAATCCAAGAGTCCCAGTATCTTTTAGCTTGTCAGCCATATTGTCTTTGTCGTGCTCTGCCAAATTCTGAGTGGTGGGGGTGTTAGTTGAAATAGATTTGTTCCTCCAAGGAACCCAACACAGCTTCCAAAAAAGGAATAGAAAAACTGCCACTAGAGCCAGTCCGCATACAATTACTATCACTGCAAGAAGACTGATGGAGAGTTCTGAAGGACAAGAAATGGGGGAGGGATAGTGGGGCAACAGGCCAGGGGAAAAGGGAAAAAAGTGAAAAAAATAGGAAAGAGAAAAGAAAAAAAAAGAATTTGATGAGAAAGATGAAAGAATAAGAACAAATATCAAAATGGTGTGGCCATTACACCCACACGTGCCCTTGCATTTACAAAGGTAATAGATTTCTTTATTTCCATGTTTCAAGTCCTTTCAATGCAACTTTCAAGGATGTTTTGCAAAGGAAAACCACAGTTAAGGCTCTGTGTATTTCCTGCTTTAAATAAGAGAAGTAAATTCTACACTATCCGTTGTCAACTCTTAAATAAAAGAGGTAAATTTTATGCTATCTTTTGCTCTCCAGATGTGTTGGACTTCAACTCCTATAGCAGATTAAAATTAGTCTGTGATAATTTGTAAAACCAGAACATACACTTTAACACAGCCACTAAACAGTACTTCAGTTATGAGGAGGCTTTCAATCCAGAGATTATTCGTAATCTGTTTTCTCCATTAATCCTTTGTAAAAAGTGTATCTTTAGATTGTCCCTGTGCTTTTGTGGTTCTTTCTTGAACTGAACTAGCAGTTATCTATATGGAAAGAGGAACTTTCTAGAATCTTTTGTCAACAACTTACATTAATCAGAAAGAAAATCCACTTTTCTTTTATATGTTCCACCCTAATTGTAAACAATATTAATTTTAAATATCTAGTACTACACATATTAACCGCTGCCAGGATTGCCTATGTTGGAAACAGCCATGTACACCCGCAGAGAAACTGGTCATACAAAAGATCATGAATTGTGCAGAAATGGACAAATTAACGCTGAGTTTAAGAGATAAAGAGACATCGATATTTTACAATGTGTGGGAACAGTGGTATAACTGGACAGAACGGAGATAGGTTGAAGATAGATAGTTATTAAGTACAAGTAATAGATAAAATAAGAATGTAAATACGCACAATTTAATTTTGTAAATAATGCATGAATTATTGTCACAAGAAAAATACCACAATTAGCTGTCGTTGAGTGAAATAATTGTTTATGTTTTTAATGTAATAAAAGTTTAATAAAGTGTTTATAAAAATATTAATTTTAAATTTATCATAAAGGTTGCTATATCACGGCCATATGTAATTGAAGGATGGTGAGCTGCATCTTAGATATGTCTTTATCAGCTGACTTCCTGACTTTATCAGACACTCCCATTTTAGGAGTCACAGGCTTACCACTGAAACCTCTTTGGCCTTTACTTTCCACTTTCTCTCCAGTTTTTCCTTCAGGAAGTACTTCTTCAGTTTTTCATCCTTTTTTCCTAATGTTGCTGTCACTTGACATCACTATATCCATCACTACTCCTGTCTTCTGGTCCTTATCTACCACAATATTTGGTTGATTGGCCAGTACCTGCCTGCCTGTTTGGATCTAGAAGTCCCATAGGAGCTTAGCTTTCTTATTCTCAATCTTTTGTGGGATGCCCCACTACCTGTATGGTATGCTACAAAAAGGGAGTAATGTGGCCTGTCTGTTCAGTAGACTTCTTAATGTGTTTATGGAATTTAATATATGTGTGTGTGTTTTGGATTGTAAATGAATCCTTCTGATAATTGGGTTGAAGCAGCTGAGTTTGAAGAAATGAATTGTGTCATAATCCTTTCTTTAGATAATTAATGAGGAAAAAATATCTTAATGTTGGATACAAATCACCTTTCAAAATACTCCACCAGATATTAGCAGATATTTTTTCAAAGAAATTTCCTCATAATTTCTCAAAAGTATGGCTTCTTTAACAGTGGTAGAATTACTAAGTCCATGGGGAGGAATGGTGTCTTCCCTTGAGATATATTTGAAGTAAGGAAGCTACAGCCAACTAGAAAGATTATTATATAATGAAAGACAAGATATTCATATGCACCCATTAGTCATGTCATAACTAAGAGCAAAATACACTATGATGAACCAAGGAGACTTAATTTTGAGTGACTTTGTGGTTGTCTAAGATCTCTTAAAGACTCTCTAAGCATAGTAACTGTCTCTCCAAGGAGTACCCAGTGGGTGGAATTCAGGGAGAGAGAGGAAAGTAGAGTTTATTTGGCCAATATTTTCTGCAATAAAAAAGATTTAGTGGTTTATCAAACTTCCATAAAAATACTACAAAATGTCCACAGTATAACTACAAAAAAACCTATAAAATAAAAACCAACCCATCATAAATTACACATAGAATAATATGTAATTGATGTCATCGATTCATGAATGAATATGTCTAAGTTGGGTTTTAGTAACTTATGGAAAGCCAATTGGGTAAGAGTCCCTGACTTATGTGAAGAGTCTGTTCTCAAAAGCAGGCCTACGTACAAGAGGCCTGAACCTATACCCCATCACATATCACAGAACTGAGGAATTGCAAACAGGTCCTTCTCTGGATACATGAGTCAGTAGGTCAAAAGCAGCTCTACAAGCACTCCAGTGACAAACCATGTATGGCTTTAGAGCTGAAAAACAACATTCTTATTTATGATTGGAGGCTAGCAAGAAGCAATGTCTGAGGAGAAGATTTATTGTACTGATATTTTCAGATACTTATCAATAATGAGACCACTGGGTCCTAAACCAACTGAAGCTCAGAATGGCCTTCAAAGGCAGACCCAAGTAGAATTTCTACAAGTAGAAATTGTGGTTGTAGTGGTGTTGAGAAGACAAGATAGAATTATCATGCGCAAGGTGGGATTGGAAGCTGCATACCAGTTGAATCTGGATAAAGTATCCCTCTTCACTGGCTCCACAGCAGTGGCTGCCACAAATCCAGATATATACCACAAATCACAAACCTGCTCTTTCTACTTGTCAAAGCAACACCAGAAATATCAAGATACTTAAACTGATTCCCTGGTGGTTTCATGTAAAAAGGCAGCAAAGAAAGGAGAAAAAGGACCAATAAGGAAGCAGCCACTTGAACAGCCTATGCCCCCACCACCCAAAATGTCAGAAATAGTGGAATCATTGCAAAACAATGCCTCCAAATCTTAAATCATGTGAGGGTCCAAGACACCATGAGAAATACAATAAGGATGTAGTAGCCCCATCTAGATCTCCGGAAAGGTCATCAACAAGTACCTAGAGCTGAATCCTGACTGAAATGGTTTAGATAAGGTACTCCAGGACTGATACACTGATTAACAGTTTCAAAACCTTCTCCAAAAAGGAGAGCTTAGAAACATGGCAATAGTTGTCAGATACAGAAAGTTCCCAAGAAAGGCTTCTTAGGAGGAATATATTACAATCTATTTCAAGGTTGCCAGCTTTAGTCCTTTCAAAGAGGTGTAACTTACCTCACAGATCCAACCTACCCTACTTTCTCCAAACTACTTAAGGATCAAGAGGGGAAAAGATGAAACCCACAAATGGCCAGGGATAGCTGAGAGTGAGCATTTTATTCACTTTATCAGAGTCCCAAATGTGGTCAGACATTGCCCCAGGTCAGTGGTGAAATGTAAAATTTGTTACTACCAGTTCTGTGGGCGTGGCTTGGTGGGGGGGGGTAATATGACTGAGTGGGCATGGCCAACTTTTTTTTTTTTTACTTTTAAAAGCATTTTTTCTACAACCTCTTCAGCTGAAGAGGTTGTAAAAAAAAATGCTTTTAAAGCCTCTGATGATCCCAGCTGACTTGCCTGATCAGCAGAGGCTTTTTTTCCTTTTAAAAACATTTTTTCTATAACCTCTTCAGCCAAAGAGGTTGTAGAAAAAATGCTTTTAAAAGCCTCTGATGATCCCAGCTGAGCCGCGCGATCATCAGAGGCTTTTTTTTTTTTACTTTTAAAAGCATTTTTTTGGCCAAAGAGGTTGTAGAAAAAATGCTTTTAAAAATAATTTAAAAAAAGCCTCTGATGATTGCGCAGCTCAGCTGGGCAATGGGGGGGGACAGGGATTTTTGCTACCGGTTCTCCAAACCACCCGCTTCCATTGCTACCGGATCGGGCGATCCAGTCCGAACCGGGACCATTTCACCCCTGCCCCAGGTACTATGGTTGACTCCACCCCATTAAGAGTCAAGACTGAAAAATGTGAGCAATTTATTGGCAAAATGCTGTGCTAACTGGACACAGCAATCAGGTAGAAGATTTACTTCTTGCCCTTTCATTAATATAAAATTGGCCACCTTAAATCAAGCTCATTGAATGAAAAACTGCCAATGCTTTAACTCTCTTACTGCCACAATATAGGCTCAGACTTGATTCAATACCTGTGCCCGGTAAGATTCACTTTTCATCTTTTTCCACTGACTTTCTAGGCATCTTTTCTACTGTTTCATCTCCTAGAAAACCTCAGCAAACCAATTAACAAGCCAGGATCAGTCAACAAGGAGAAACTGCTCAGGGGAAATCAAATAATCCTTCTCCAATCTGGGGTTCTTAAGGTGTACTGTATTTGATAATTTCTATAAACTCTGGTCAATATGGATGTCCCAATTCAATACATCTGGAACAGTGGTCACCAACCGGTGGTCCGTGGACCACTGGTGGTCCATGAGAAAATTTTGGTAGTCCGCAGCGCACCTGGGTGGAGGAGCTGCTCTGGGATTAGAGCAGCTCCTCCTGTGACTAGAGCTCTGGAATATGGGACTGGTCAGGCAGCTCATGGTTGGGCTGTAAATCTCCGCCATAGAGGGAGGTTTGTGTAACTTGCAACTTTGCAGCTCAGCCTTCACCTGCCAGAATGAGGTAATGGTGCAAGGGGGTGGTGGTGCAGGTGGGCCAAAACAATGGGTGGCAGCAACCCCGGGCTGTTTCTTCCCCCTGCTGTAGCTTCCTGTCAGCTGAACCCACCAGTGGCTGTCCCTGCCCCTCGCCCTCCCTTCCCAGTCACTCCTCTCCTGGCCTGAGAAGGAAAGGGTGGGGGACGGAGATTCGCTCCATATTCCAGAGCAGGAGTGAAGCTTTGTCTCTTGCTGGATCTCACGGGTGTTTCTTCTGGCCCTTTTTGGTGCT